ATTTCTGGCCAGCAACTTTCAGCGTCATTAAGCCGCTGCGCCACCGCGTCCCCCTCGATCTGATTATACTAAGATAAAATTAAGAAAGTTCTTGTTATCAGTATTAGTTATTTTACCTGTATGTTGGTCTTCAATCCAGGTTTGTAGATATGTGAAGACAATTAGACCTGCTACTCCAAACATCAGTACAGATACATATATTCGTTTCAGATTCATGGCCCTACTTTTTGACCAACTTCAGAAGACAGCATAGCTCACTTTTCAGAGGTTCTGCATACTTTTTTCTCCTCTTGTTTTTCTAGAAAAATATGATCTGGAAAGATACAATAAAACAAATTATTTTCTATTATTCTTTCTGTTATCACTTTTATGCAAAGTGAATTACATTGTAGGAGTTATGTCTGATATTTCAGTAATCTCTGTGAAGTTGTAGAAGAATCATCACTGGAGTTTAAAACACCTCTATGATCCCTGTCTCAAGATTCATAAAGTAGGCAACTGTTCTCATATTCCTAACAGTGTTAGAAAGCTTGACTTAAGGAACTTAAGATCAAAGGAAACTGAATCAAAACACTTTGCATACTTATGGGTAATTACTTAGATTTATGAACCACAGAAGTATAGTATATTAATCTACAATGCTCCAGCAGTTCCTCTTGCTTGGGTTCTCATACAAAACAAGGGCAGATTTTTTAAAAAACATGAATTATTTATCATCATTTTTTAATGTAGCAAACAATAGCTTTCCTAACCACTTGCTATTTTTTTAGAAATACATATTGAAGAAAGGAAATTTGTTCCAGTTCAATCATGTTTAATTTACAGCACTACAACAGCTGTGCCTACTGTTATTTTCACATACTTCCAATACTGTATCAACATACAGCCTGCAGATAAGATAAAATTTTCATTAACTTCACATACTGTAGATCTATGTTGGTATTTTAAATGAAAGAATGGCGAGAATATTTATCAGATTTATTGATGGCATGAAACTGGGAGAAAGAGCTATCATCTGAAAAGGCAGGAAGAATATTCAAAACAGCATAAATACAATGGAAAAGTAAGCAAAAAACTTTCAATCAAGACTCTTCCACTAGTCAAGAATTATTCAGCCCTCTAGTTCCTTCTTTCTCCAGTACTGCATTCTTATGGAAAAGTGAATTCTCTTTAATATTTTCTCCCTTTTTCTTTTTATCTGAAGAACAGTAGCAGGAAACTGTCACCTATGAAGATGCTGGCTGACACTCAGACAGTAGCCTCAGTCAGCTGTCTATTCCTTGTCCAAGCTTTACTCCCAGAAACTTCCTTGTTGTCTTTCTTCTTTGTTGCAATGCACATGCGCGTGCGCGCGCACACACACACACACAGCCCACTTCTCTGGATCCAACATGAGCTCACATGTTTGCTCACAGCAGAATAAGAGTAGCTCTCCCACACTCCCTGGCCCTTCTCATCTACATTATCCCCATCAGCAGATAGTTACTGGAAAGGTCAGGAGCTGGTTCTTCACCGTAGTTAGCAGCTCAGAACACATACCAAGTAAACCATTTTAATAGGCCTATAAAAATGTAAACAAAACTAAAACACTTAATATATCACAAGGAGGTGAACAAATCTGAGGTGTAGTTACAGTTTCCTGACTTGATCCAGGTGGTATTTCAGAGACCAAATGGGGCCCCCAGCCTCTTTTTTTGGGAAACCACTTGGGCTCCTCAAGTTCTGCGAATTTCAGCAGCTTTTTTTAAAAAGTAAAATGCTATGTAAAGTAGGCATGTTAGGCTTAATGCACTTATTTTACCTTTTACAAACCCAATCAAACCAACTCAGCTTCCTAATAATGAAAATTCCATCCTCATCTATTCTGGTTATGTTACTATGTCATCTTCATACATACCCCATCGCTGAAAATAATATTTTAAAAGACTCCTGTACCTGTTTCTCTGGCCGTGGCCTGTCTACCAGCCAGATTAAGCAATCACTTTCCTCACAGGCTGTCTACTTAGTTTTTCATGGACCTATTTATGGATCTCTATGATTGCATATGTTAGGTTAGCTGAAAAGGAGAATGACAGAATTTACACTGCAAGGTTGATAACAAGATAGTTTGCTCTTTTGGAGACAGGATGATGGATAAATATACTACTGGAGGAAGCTAATGCAGGTTCTACACTCTGAATAATATTTTTATATGCCAAAAGTGAACCCAAAGGCAACTCCTATCAAAAGCTATACAGTGTACAGTATATATTAAGCAATCTGCCAATTTTACAGACACTGATTAAGACAGACCTTAGCAGCCAGATGGGCTGTTAAGAGTGGGTTCAAGTGATACAGACTCAAGCCCAAAGCTTTCTGAACAATAACCTTACTTGCAACTCAGAGCATCAGAAGAAAATCATTAATTTAAATTCCTTCCTCCTGCCACTCAAACACAGCAGGATGTTATAGCTGACAAAAATGCAACACAAAATGGTTTGTAGAATGCAAGAAAAAGTAAGACTACAATGTGCTTTCAAACCTAGCACATTATAATTCAGTTGACTATAGTATAGAGGGAATATTAAGCTGCATAGTCCCTTAAAGAAGCAGAATATAATAGTAAGAATATTGAGAGAACTTTCTAATACGCTAAGACAAAAGATGGTGAGATGGGCAGCTATATAAATTTGATTAATAAACAAACAAATATAACAAAAATATAAATATAATACTTGAAAACAATCATTTCAAAGTATTTGATATTGTGTTTGACATCCTGGTAGAGAAATCTCTACTGAGACAGGTCTATGAACAAGCTATTTCAGATTATTTCTTGAGTATAATGTAATTAGGAGACAAATACAATTTACAAAAATATCACCTTTTCATCATTTTACCTTCTGCATTTTATTAAGCAAAGTATTATCATGCAAATATAATACTTTGTCTTCCTCCAGCGATGTCTAGAGCACCGCTGGAGGAAGACAAAGACCAAATCTGACCAAACACAAGTTACAGCTGCTATCAAGGCCTACATTGTGGTGATAAGAACGGCAAAGCGCCACTACTTCTCTGCTCTTATCGCGTCCGCAGAATGCCACCTGGTGGCCCTGTTCAGGATCACTAGGTCCCTCCTTGGTAAGGGAGATGTGGGGGTTCATTTGTAGAGCTGCATGGAAGAATGTTAGGAGCATCTGCAGGACAAAGTCACTTGAATTTGTTCCAAGTTGGACTCCGAGTGTGGGGCAGGGTCTGGGGAGATACCGGGGGACCGTTCTTACCCAGTTATCTGGGAACAGTTTGATCCTGTTGATCCTGAGGAAGTGGACAGAATCCTGAGACAGTGAAGGCCACCACTTGCCATCTTGACCCATGCCCCTCCTGGCTAGTGAAAACAGCTCGGGAGGTGACACATGGTTGGATCCAGGCGATGGATAATACATCCTTGCAGGAGGGAGTGCACCCCCTCCTCAAGAAACTGTCCATGGATCCTACTGTGCTGGACAACTTTTGTCCAGTCTCCCACCTTCCCTTTTTGGGGAAGATGGTTGAGAAAGTGGTGGCATCACAGCTCCAAAGGGTTCTGGAGG